TGGTCGACGTCTCCTCAGTCGTGGCAGCGACCCATGACGCACAGCTTGTCCTCTCGATGCATGCCTGCTGACCTCCTGGACCCATGGCAAATTGCGTGTGTATGTCGGTCTCGGCGCAAGAGGAACCCTCGGGTGTGGAGATTGTTGCCTCCGGCAAGTCTTGAGTGAGCGTCGGCATGTCGGTCACCATCTCAGAAGATGAGGATGATTCCTCGCTAGTTGAAGTGGTGCTTTCAACAGTCGACGAAGACTCTTCAGTGGTGGTCAGTACAGACGTGGACAGAGTAGTCTCAGTCGGCAAGGGCCGAACACAGGCGGCACCCTCGTTCCCGTCTCGCTTGGTGATGTAGGTCCACTTCCAGTTGATGGATGTCACGGCCCATACGCGGTTCGGGTCGTCAAGGTTGCTCAGTCTAGCGTTCCAGGAGGTAAGATCGCCTGGGGGAATGCCGGGTATGAGAGCAGCCTCGACCAAGTCGATACGTAAGGCTTGAATGAGATCATCCTTTGCCTTGTTGACAGCTTGGTTGATGGAATAGGGTTGAGTGCCGGTGAACCTGTCCGTCATGAAAGTCTTGTATCGCTCAGCGAATGACCACCAATTGCCTTTCACGGCGAGATCGTTCATGCAGTTCTTTGCGTAGTTATCCATGTCGATGCTATATCAAAGTGTCAGATTCAGGGGTAACATGGCTAGATGGTTTGCGTCCGTAAGTTCTTACCGCCTTGCATAGATGCGCTGATTCTGGTTCTCTAGAGCGGCAATAGCCTCGGGGGCATTGAACATGTCCATTGCGATGGCCATACGCTCAAGTCTCTCGAACTTGAGGTTTATCCAATCTTGCGCATCCTGAAGTGGTGTTGTCTGATAGACATCGTACCTGGCATCCACGGTCTTCTTAACCGTGTCCAACATCTTTTTCGGTTCCGTCACAAATTGCTGCGCATCATGCCATCAGCCAGACTCTTCTTCTCACCGGGGAGGCGGGAGATGAGCAGCGACTTTACCTTTGCGACACCATTCGTCCATTGATCCATGCCTATGAAGTCATCGAAGTATTTTGCATCCGTTACCATGACAGCGTCGCCAGGGTTGGTGTTTTCCGTGGCTTGGGGATAAGTATCGAAAACATTTTGAAGCCAATTGGTCCCCTTCCTGACGCCGCCGTAGGCCCGCATGTCGTTACAGCTGATTTTGTTTACCGGTCTCCCTTTCCTCATGGTTGTAGCGTCGACCTTGGTGTTTGGGTCGATGATGAAGTCGAAGTAATCCAAGAGCACACTCTTTTCATACACGTGGTCGATAGATGGTCCTTGGTCTCTCGGCAAGGTCCTGGGAAACTGGGACTCGGGAATGGGGCCGTTGAGAGTAGGGACACAGTTTCCGTCACGAGTAGTTCGCCACCATCGCTTTATATCCTTCAGAGGTGAGTTCCTGGCGACTATATCTGCCTCGTTGTCCAACACGGTAAAACCGCCAGGATACTCAGGAAACTCGGGCAGACCCAGAAACTTGCACCCTCCAAGTTTCTTAACCTGCTGGGCCCGGCCTCGGCGCTCAAGACCCCTTCTCTCCAGATCTTCTGGATCTGACTCCTCTGAGGTATCGGCCGACCCCCAATCACAAACCCTGCAAGTGCTGTCACCTCTTCAGTGCATGTGCTCGAGGTAGTTGACGACTTTGTCTTGTCGTCCTCATCCTCATCCTCGTCATCATTTCCATCCTCATCCAGCGTCTTGGGGGGCTCGGAACAGCCAGGGGGGATGCATGGGAACCAGAATCGAGGGAGTCCGGGGAAATGGAAGAGAACATTGGTCAAGGGAGGGGAGTTGAATAGAACAATACCAGAGCCACGTCCTCCGCAGCCTCGACAGCCCACAAGAACTGGAACAATGGTGGGCTCAGAAGAGTCACTCTCCGTGGTCGTAATCCATGTGTTGGTTGTCCATCCAGGGTGGCCAGATACTGTTGTGACATCAAATCCTTCAGGTGGCTCTGTCATTGTCGAGGTCACACCGGGCACGCTGCTATCCGTTGTGGTTGAGGTAGCATGAGGCAACGTGGTCGAACCAGTCATCGATGGGACTATAGCCCTGCTTTCAATGCTTCGAGTTGAGTCAGAGGTAGCAATAGCGTCTGTTGTGATGACTCCTTCGGTGCTTGAAGGCACGCCCGAGTCTGCTGAGTGATCAGCGGAAGAGAGGCCTGATTCACTTGCGAGAGTCATGTCAGAGCCAGCAGGGGTGGATCCAGTTGTAACTTCATCAAAAGAGGCCGCCAAGCGATCAGAAGACAATGGACCCGACTCACTCGCTACAGTGGTTCCAGTGCCAACAGAAGTGGGTTCGATTGTAGCTACATCAGAAGAGCCCGTATCAGATACCAGAGTTGATGGACGAGTAGGATCGGTTTCGGTACTGCTCTGTTGCCCGGATGATACTGCCTCCGACTCTGACATTGAGCTGCCTTGGTATGTGCTGGTGCCCGTTGATAAAAGTTCCGAGCTCAAGGACATGGTGTCAGTGGTCCTTGTGTTATCAGTGCCTCCACTGCGCTCAGTAGACACCGGTTCAGTTTGCTCCGGCGGCTGAGAGGTTGTCGACTGTGAGTTGGAACCGCTTCCTGGTGTGCTGCCTTGACTAGCCGAGGAGGTCACCGACTGAGTCTCAAGTGAATATCCTGAGCTCGAGCCTGTAGACATATCCGAAATGGTATAAAGTTGAGTACCACTAACGTGGTCGGATGTAGGGTTTTCAGACGTTAGGTCCGAGGGTGACGAGAGCCAGACGCTGAAGTCGCTGAACCAATCTCAGATGAAGTGACAGAGTCACGGGTCGGCTGAGTGCTGCCTCCTTCAGTTGCATGAACTGATAGGTTTGAACTGGTGTTTGATCCGAGTTCTGCATTGCCAGACGAAGTGGGAACGGTGGCATCATCAGAGGAGCTTGGCGGACCAGTTTCAATTGTTCCTTGGTCGGGGCCAGTGCCAGTTGCTGAAAGGTCTTGAGAAGAGGATGTCAAGTCCATCCGCAGCGAAGAGAACCTGGCAGATGAGCCAGTGAGATGGGATGTGGCCCCTGAACCTCCTTCGCTTGTATGCCCCGGGATTTCCTCAGTGGCCCTTGGGATTTCTGCCGAGGAAGACAGAGAATGACCGGTAACAGATGAGCCGGTGCCGGTCGCTGATACGTGGCCCATTGACGAAGAAGGCGCCGAAAGGGACAGTGTTGCTAGACTCTCTAGGGAGGGAATGGCTGACAGTTGCAAAAGAATGTGTGGACGATGTCGAGCCCGACCAAGAAGAGGCAGCCGACGGTCGATCATGTTCGTTATCAGAGGCAGAAAATGACTCTAAGTCTCCATGGGTAGATGAAGAGGTCGGATGTCCATCGTGACCTGTGTCGAGTGCTCCATGAGACGTGGTAGACGATGACTCCTGGCCATGCGGGCGGCAAGGACCACCGAGAGCTGTCACGCTCCAAACGGAGAAGAGTAGTAGATGCCTTATGGCGTCGGGCTTAGTAAAAGAGTGACTTGAAAACTGAGTGACTTGGTAAAAGAGTGACGAGTCAAGACAAGAGTGTGTGCCCTAGAATAGGTAAACTACTACGCGATCTATGCCATCTATATAACTAACCATATGTCGATTCCCATCTCTCGTGTTAGTTGTGCCTTAATGCCAGTTGCAGCAATAAAGAATCGCTATCTCATTAGCCGATGGCGTTGGTACCGACCTGCGGTCGCTTGTCATCGTGTCCACTTTGTTGCATCTAGATCAGGTCATAGTAACTTACCTCTTACACGATACAGCCAACACTGGACATAAGAAGACCTAGTTCTAGTAAAATGCTCCTGGGGATGAGTTTTGTTCGCATGCAGTCGCAACGTGATATTGTCTGCTACCAACAGCAATCACCAGGCTTCTCCATAACACGAGAGGACCCATAGATTAACGGCTATGGCCGTCTTTGCAGACCAGCAGATAGAGGTACATGCAGATATAATTGATCCACTTGTCTGGGTATATAACGTCAATGCGATGTGTCTTGTTTCAAAACGTGAATACGAGAGAGGTAATTTCGTTTTACTCTTCAGCCGCAATGCCGCCAGCATCGAGGAAGGATGGACATGTGGGGTGACAAGGATGTATCTTCACCGTTGGAAGCCATTAAAGGAGGAAGCTTTGCAGCAGTGTGACAGCCAGTGAGGTCCAAGGGGCGACGTAGCTGAAGATATAATCCCTGTCCAATATCATATTTCATCGACATGACATGCATCTCCTGAGTACATCTAACTTGAAGCCTACCACTAGGAGCAGTGCCGAGATCTCTTCGCCGGCCGCAGAGTACAGCCCTCTCCCTCATGCTCGCCTCCACCCGCGAATCACCAACACATGGTTTCAGCCAACCTCGCCCAGCCTCGCCTTTCTCTTTCTCCTTGCTTAGCTTCTTACGATGCCGCATTCTCCATCATACCAAAAACTTCTTGTTTTGACCCCTCTTCTGACCTTGATTCGCTGCGAGCAACCATGGCGTACCACCCCGAGTATCCTATCTGCACCATCTGCGGCATCAGGCTCGAGGAGCCTCTCTGCTACCTGGAAGAGCTCGCCGAGCGCTCGCCTGATGAACGAGACTGGAAAGACGACGTCGTTGCCCTATCTGGCCCGCATTGGTTACCAGGGGAATTGCTGTCCCTGGACCTGGCTGACGATGCAGTACATCGCTTTGATGCTGTCGCAACCTGGCATCCCTCGGTAGGGCTAGTCCTTCTCCCGGATAAGCGAAGTGTGGATACCCAGTCCCGGTACGAGCCTGACGAGCCCAATACCTTGGTACCGCCTGTCTCTATGCAGCTTTTCATGGGGATACATGCTGCCTGTGAGGAAGTTGCCAACCGCGTCATGAGGACCTCATTCAAGGCTCGGGTTCGTTCAATAGGAAATTTCTGGATGACGCTCGAACGCCGTTGTGCTCGACCCATGGACAGTCACCCGCACATGAACTTCCTCCCTTACTTGCCAGAATCCCAGTCAGGTCAACCACGCTCGTTTGGCACTGGGCGTTACTTTGTTCCCTATTCCTGCATAATCAGATATGGAGATGAGTGGGATGGATGGGTAACTTTGAACCCCCCCCCCCCCCCCGGTTCCTTGGCGTACCAGCAACTAATCGTCTTTAACAGTGGGAAGATGACCCCATCGTCATTTCTGACTTGACGACTCAGCTTCTCTCAAACCTTGAACCAGTCAGTCGGACCACCGGTCCTTTGCCGAGCAAGTTCATGCAACAGTTCAAGGGTCGTTTCATGACTCTGCCGCAGGAGCTCAAGAATCGGCTTGTGTCCCTGTTGCAGGAAAGTCCTGTCTGTCTTAATTGCACCTATTTGATGCCTCAGTATCTATGGAAGCAAGCGTTCTTGCAAATCCCGTTTCTTTGGGATCTCGATACGAAATTAGTACTCGAAAAAGCCGGTTCAGAACCGTCCGAGACAGAGGAGTGGAACTGGGAAAAGTTTACTCGGCAGGTTCTGAGTCCCGCACAACCCCAGTCCCCCATTTCATATGCGTCGAAGAAAGGTTATGTGTGGGACTACGATAAGGTTGGACTGCGTATGCCCCCTGGATTTACCAATCGCCGGCGAATCTGGCAGATTGTGGAGGAAATGTGGCCAAACGATGTAGGAGTGTGAAGCTGTATAGTCTGAGATGAGACAGGGTTAGATTTGAGGCCACAGATCGAGGGGGTCGGCAGCAAATGGAGCGAGTTGATCGAGCCAATAGCTGTCCACCATATTATCGACTTGATCATGACCCTGGATAAGAGTCTCACCATTTGTCTAGGTTCTTTCATCCTTGCCCTTGCAGTTTGCCTGTAACTCAATTTGAATGACACTTTTTTGACAGCAGCCTTGAACTCCGGTATCAATATGAATCAACATTACTCGTATATGCATGCAACCTTCATTGTGTTCAAAGATGATATGTGCGCCAACTAGATAAGTTTGGTAATTCGCCGAGATATTGCATTTAAGCTCTAACTAAGCCCGTACTCTTATTGATTTACCCTAGTAGCTATTACCTAAACCTTTGTATCTTTACGACCGAAACCTTCCTCCTTAATAACTTAAGTTACTCCTGTGACTTAATGACTTAAAAACCTTGATCCCCTCCCTAAGCCCCGGCAATATATTTTCCCTAATTTATCCTCTATAGCTAACTTCCCCGCTTTATATATATCCTATTAGCGGCTTTAATATCGCAATTAGCTCTAATAGGCTATTAACCTAGCCTATATTTATTATTATCGCCTTAATAAGGCGGCGCCTTATAGACTTTATAAGTCCTTTAAGCTCTAATAGCTTTATATATTATATAAAATACCTAAGCTCTTAAGGTACCCCTAGGCGCTTTAAAGCTATAAGAAATACCTTATAGGCTAAGATAGCTAATTCGATATATTAATTTCTTTTAAATATTATTTATTAGAAATTATAAGGTAATATAATATTAATTTAATAGATTAAGAGCTATTTTATATTTTATATAATTTAGCTTCTTTCTTAATAATTAAGAAAATAAAGAAAAAGGTAATAATCTCTATAAGTAATAATAATAATAATAATAATAATAATAATAATAATAATAATAATAATAATAATAATAATAATAATAATAATAATAATAATAATAATAATAATAATAATAATAATAATAATAATAATATTATTATTATTATTAAGGTTATATCGCTAATTAATTATAGTTCTTATAGGTATTATATTTAAAGATATAATATTAAAAAATAATAACTTAAGAAAATAAAAAAGTAAATAATTCTCTTATTTTTTATATAGAGGTTAAAATAATTAAAATACCTATAAGAGGTTAGACTTTTATAATAATATAATTAGGTATAACTCTTTTATTATTATAGAAGTTTAATTAGGCTATTATATTAATATTAGGTTATAATATTTTATTATATTTAAGATCTATTCTTTATTATAATTATAGCCTGGCCCTTGATGGGTTAATTGAGCCTAAAGATCGCATATAACCTTAATCCGTAAGGCCGCCTTTTTTAGCCCCAGAGCTTCAAGATTCGAGGACGAACTATGGATACAACACCAGGCACAACTGCAACCACTCCCGCCCTCGACCTCAGTACTGTGACTATAGCATATCCTGCTCCCTCCTCGTCCAATGAGACCACCAATGATCTCACACGTCAGAAAACCCCAGAAAGTAGACATTGGAAAGTCTCCCCCACCATCACACACAACGGCTTCACTCGCAACTCTATTCTCATCGAGAACGTAGCCCTCCCCTATATGAATGAGCTCGAAGAATCATTGTATGATCGTCGTTTACACTTGCTTCCCTTTGCAATTGGATACATCATGCACAGGCATAAGAAAATTCTCAATATTTTCCGTCAAGGTATCATTGCTGCATCGCTTAAAAACCCCGATATCCAATCCCGAAAATCATTTTCCACCCACTTCGCCACAACTGCCAGAGCTGCTCGGAGCTGGTACATGCCCAGGATGGTAGAAGTGTCTCCAATCCTCATAGACTGGTCGAGTAGCAGCTGTAGAGTGATTAGTTAGATACTTTGACAATTGACAAAGACTCACCATCTCATGTCCATTATCCACGGCGAACAAAACTTGCCAGACGTTGCCGTACACTTGAAAGACAGGGACAGTTATTAGTTTTCGGCGAGTGGTTATGGCCCGTAGACGTTCCTGCCATGCTGCTGTCCAGATAGCTAGCTGGACATGGCTGCTAGCTACTGTGCCTGTTGACGCCTTGGTTTCGATAAAGACTGGAGCTGGTCGCGTTCTCAAGGCTTCGTACACTGTCTGGTTGATTGTCCGATGTTTCTGTTGGACAAGCAATGAATCGATTCTGGACTGCACGTCATCGTCAGGCAAAAAAAGCAGGGCATAGTCGACCATCTTATGAACCGATGTCCTCACAGGCTCGACGGAAGACGCGTCGCTGACGAGACTTGATTGGCTTGAAGCAGCACTGGATGAAACAGATCCAGTTGCCCAGCCATCATGAGTCCCTGGTTGAAAGTCCTTGACGATCTGTGCATTCGTGATGGTCTCGGCCTTGACTGACGAAAATGAGGACAAGGCCAGCTTGAGCATGGGATAATGCACGTGGCCGTTCCACGCCGACTCGCCCTTGTTGAAATTGGTAGCATCCTTGGCCTCGTGCAGAATATCCTCCATCGTAGCGTGCTCGCGACCCAATAACTCATCGTTAACCTCCGAGTTATCGGGCTGCCACATGAATGGTAAAATTCCGGCCTTGGTGATGCTAGCCGTGCCCATGATTTCCTTCAGCCCAGAGGGGAGGATCGCAGACTTGCACGACACGGCGAAGAGCTCATTGTATAGTCCAATGTCCTCTTCGGGCAACTCAGTCATCATGTCTGCTGGATTAAAGACGCGGATTGGTCGCTTAAGCTGTGCAAGACTGGCGGTGGTTGGGTATCGTTTTGAAGGAGAGGTACGCCTCCTCTTCTTGGGCGATGACGGGGAGAAGACGCTGCTGCTTCGAAGCGTGGCGACGAAGGAGGAGACGTCGGTGGTGGTAGCTTGTTGTTGTTGCTGTTGTTGTTCCTCGGCGGCTCGAGGTCGAGGGGTCACATCAGGATCAATAAGCACGCCGGATCGCCTCTCTGGGCTCGACATGGCGCTGTGCTTCCGCTTGGGATGGAGTATTTGTGTTGGGGATGCGTCGGGTGTCTCCTCGACTAGATCGTTGATCCAGGCTTCAATTGCAATACTGTGCATTCTGTTACATTGATGTGCTCGAGAACGAAAGCTGCTTTTTAGGCTTAAGGCCTTATCTCGTGATGGGGTTGGGTTGCGCGTGGTTGTGTTCAGTGTTTTGGTATCTGGTGGGGCTTTATGTTGACCTCAGTTGCCGGGCAACGATCCCTCCACTAACTAATCCAAGGCCCCACCATGACTCGATCCCTTCATAATAAACCAATAAGAGAGAAGCTCTAGTAATTCATTCATTAATCTCCCTGTCGACTAGCGATAATAACCTCTTCTCTGCTAAATATTACAAACCATGACTATTTTAGTTCCCAAGGGATGTTCCAGCGTCGTCAGCCATTTCCCTTGACGCGGCCAATTGGACCTATCCTCAACTCCCATCCACATTCTAAGCGAGTATCCCATCCCATACCTCGCCTTCAGCTAATACAAATTATACACGAGGCGGGGTCGGCATGGGCATGACGAAGAACACTTGTGGTTGTTCCCATCGTATGACTGACCAGCTGTGGTCAAAGAGACGTGCTGGCTGCACGCATAAGGCTTTTCTAGTACCAGCCTCTATTGGACACAGTTCCATCTTTCACGCCCTTTTCAACATGCGTAATACCATCCCGAGCATGTTGCCAGGTTCAGTCAAAGACTCGACAACCATGCCCGAGAGATCTGAAGACGCTTTATAGGGCACGAAGCATGCCAGGGACCTATATTCTGGGGTCCTCAATTCGTCTCTTCAGTGATTGGGCGTCCTGGCGACACGTTCAAACTCTGAGAGTCAATCTTGAGCAGAAACTAAAATCCTTAAAGTACAAAGCATCTGGACTGGCTCTTCCTAGAGGGGCATGTTCGCAAAGTGCAGAACTCTAGCATGGGAATACTCGAGTTGTCATTGAGGCTTGAAGTTACCGGTTTGATGACATCTATATAAGCCAACTTCTACTACACCATGAGGTCGAGAACAACGTGGCCTGAGATTCACAACAAAGACATCGCCCCAAAGTGGAGATAATGCCGAATCATACAACGGAGTGAGAGAGAATTGCTGGTGGCTTTGATAGATCAGTACACTCATAAAGCTCAATTCTATCGGACATGTCATGGTTCAAATAAGAAAAGTCCAGGAGAAAGAATGCAAAACAAGACAAGAACATTTCGCGCCGAATACAAAGATTCGTCCCTACCAACATCAGCGCTGTCTCCAAAACGTTTATCGCATGAATATGACCTGAATTTGCCGAAAGAAGTGCACCTAAATTCCCTGTTCAACTCCAACAGTCACGCAATGGCAATCTGATGCATGAAGTGCTCGGAAACCAAACATAAGTCGATTTGTGTGTGCATGCCATCGCGCCGCTAGCGAGGAATCCTCTGCGACCTGTATGCGATATTATAGGAGGAGGTTGGAGTTCGCTTGAGTGCGAGATGAGATTACGATGAATGTTTTGGGTCTGTCTTAGTGCTTATCGTGTTAGGCAATAAGGCGGCAAGCCTTATATATAGCAAAGCGCGATTAGGATAGATATACTCCTGTAAGGTGGTGAATTCGTTGCCCATGGGCGAAACTCAACAAGCCCAAGAGAACGGGAATGAAGCTGATGCCCAGGAGATATCTACTCATCTGTCCATAACCCATGTATTAGAGGAGGAAAGACCTGACACAAGACCGCAAGTTGATGCAACCAAGAGCAAAGAAAATTGCCACCAGCAGCCCCAGCATCTATCGTCATCATCCACCGGGTCGAAGATTCATTCTTGAATCCCTAGTTCTTAAGGGATGGAAGTTTCCACGGCGGAAAACCCTATCTGTATAGGCGCACACTGGGCCGACTTGGCCCCGATCACGAAAAAGAGAGGTCCACAACTCGGCGCTCAAGACGATGAGGGTTCACAACGTGTTGATCATGCGTTCTTTATTATAGTTGGAGCCCGGCCCTCGTTCTGTTAACTGAGCCAGAAGATTGAGGACTCATAACTGCCAACCTCTAGACGCATGCATGCGCATACCAATGCATTTATCTACTGATATCTGCCTTCTCGTCCATCCTGTCGTTCAGAATCCGTGCGCTGACGAGCACTGCCGGGGATCACTTCTCGACTTCCCTGGGGCCCCCGGGGCAAGGCTGTAGCCCCCTCTCCAGCTCAACATAACAGATAGCTGAGCATTGTACATGCCTTCTTCTGCCCTCTTCGCCATGCCTATCATGGTTGAGAATCTTCAGGGTGACCTACGGCTTGGTAGCCCAACTTTTTGGCGAAATGGTCATTTAGATCGTCACCGGGGCTGAAACGGGTATGCTCGCTGAAGCCAACGCGAGCCATAACAGCGTTGAGTTAGTAATGGGAATACTAATGTTGTAACAGATGGGGGCCGTCAGCCTCCTTCGCCATCTGCAGGCGCGCCACGGACACTGGCTTCAATTGCTGTCAGCACGGGCGTCCAAGGCCACGAAACTGTCCGCCGTTTCTTCATGGTACCCTAGGATTGGGTGGCACTTTGATCGTTCCGACCATTAATACACCTCGTTCTTCTAGCTTACTTGCTAAGCCAAGAATTTATTATACATAGAGGTGTTGCGTAGGTATATCTCTCTTCACTTGTATTGAATCCCAGGGCCACTGTGTTGACATCGGGTCATGATGTTATGATGTGTTGAAAATCTATGCTTTATTATAGTTGCAGCCCGGCCCTCGATGGGTTAACTGAGCCCGATGGTTGGGTGTTATGCCGGGTAGAGGTTAACAAGGAGGATGCATTAGAATAGTTCGCGACTCTCGTCTGATAAATCTATGGTTACCATCTGAAAGGGTGCGCAGCGGTTGGAGTTGCTTTATGGTGCCCGAGGTGCTTGGTGCTAAGGTTGTTCCGTGGCACTATGTCTATACCTGGCTGAGATAGACGCCATAGTTGATCAAATTAGCTTTATCGTCTTCTCCCCAGTCTTATATTAAAGTTGACGTCATTCAGGTTTGACAGACTGGCAATGCGAGTCAATCTCGTGTCATGCTGGCACCGTCGGGAACGAGAAGGATTGCTCTCAACATTTGGGCAAATTTTCCAAAGCCTACTCGTCGCAGCAAGATACCCAATGCAGCAACCGAGTATTGGATCGCCATGGCCTACGTGTCTCTCTTTCTGCAGTCCCGCAGTGGACTCCCTCGGTTCCTGCGACGATCCGTGTGTGTTTTCGGACAGGCCAACAGGGATCGACAGGAACACGACCTCTGCCCTGTCAGCAAAGGGCTGCGTATATAGCACCACAATGAGCTTCTAATCTTGAGGTTCAGAAAGAGTCTAGGTAAGTAATTGGTTCAATCTGATACAGCCCCAGATTAAGGACTGTTTGTCAGGACCTATGGGATGGCAAATTTGAGGTGACATTGTAGCTAGGTGGAGAGCCCCGCCCGTCAGCAAGTAGCTGAGTCTGTGCTAGACTATTCTTGGCTCCCTATCCATTCTATTAACAGTGTGCGGGTGTTTGTTGATGCAAATCCCATAAGCTGTCATCAGCACAGCCCCGCCATTCAAAAGGTATTGATCGCCAGTTGAGCTATCAAGCGCACTATGGTTCTGTTCTGGGAAAGAGAGTCCAACTGCCGTGTCTCGGCGCACGAGTTGAAGATATACCGCTCAGACAAGTTTGGAGCTTGGTATATAAAGAAGCCATGACTACCATCCAAGTCTCATTCTTCATCACCATCCACTTCACCACATCCAAAACACTCAAGAATCGCAAGTAGACTTTCATCCGGTCAGTAATAATGCCTCGCCTGACCCTCTCCGCACTGGCCATCCTGGTCTCGACCTCTCTGGTCACCGCCCTGCCGGCTGCCCAGCCATTCTCGGTCGAAAGCTGGGTGAATGATATCATTGCCAATCCCGACGGCAACCATCTCTCTCCCGAAGAAGCTGCCAAGCAATACTCGCAGCCCACCGAGGGTTCTTTGGACAAGCGCGCGACTTGCCACGACACTGCCTATGCACCAGCCAATGTTCGCTCAACACCCCACCGCCCTCTTAGAAGCTGATTCGCTGACCAAACCAGGTTCCCGATGCTGTGGCGTGCATCAATCAGCTCGCTGGAAAGGGCGAGACGGCCTGTGTCATTGCCGGCGCGAGCTCGCGCTTTTGTGAGATCGGCGGAGCTGCAATCGACGGATTCGTTCCCGCCGGCGCGGAGGGAACCCAGGCTCCCTGGTGAGTTGTTCCAGAGTATACATGTACAATACCAGTAGCTAACCCCCGTAATAGCAGCGAGGTTGCCCGTGCCGCGGGTAGGATTATGGATACGTGCTGGCGTGCGGACAACACGGTCAAGGGATGGGAGGTCGTGGGCAGGATTGTTGTTCACCTTTACTCCAAATAAGTAGCTGAGGGCTGCGTGAATGAGAGGCTAGATCGGCTGGGCGAAGTAGGGTTGGCATTGTTGTTTTCTTTCATATTGTCTTGTGCAAGTAGTCTATCTTTCTAGAAGGTACATATATTCGTTACGGCCTCACACGCGGGAAATAGTCTCTCTCGAAGTCTCCTTCCTCGGCAACGAAGCCAATGTTGAAGGAATTGCACCCCAGAGTGGCGACGCGCAGTCCAGCCTGATTCCACCACCCTTCGTGGAAGTTGGTCCTCTTCCTCATTCTGAACCCTCGCATTTGCCCATACCAGTTGAGTTCACAAACAACAATACCCAGTATAATACACAGAATACATACAACTACACTTATAACTAAACTTTGTATGGCGGCGGTCATGGCCCCCCTGATAGTAGTGGAGGTTGGCATATGCCCTGTTTATTGTGCGGCGCCTGTCGCCTAATCTTAATCATCCTGTTTGTCAGCCTCATTGCCTTTGCTGTATACGGCGCCGCAACCGTCTAGAACAACTCGGTTGCTTACATTCAGAACTTGTTTTCCGCCGTTACTTCGATCCTCCCTCTCGGATACTTCATCATTCGCCCCGAAGATCGTCCTGAGGGCGATTCTCCTCCCATTACCTTTGTCACTACAACACACATCGCAGCTGAAACCGCCGTTGCCATCCATATCATTCCTGCCCCATCTGGCATCCTCAACGCCGTCGACGATGCGAACTTTTCGATACCACACCAGGAGCACCCAGACACTGTCGCCAAGATGGAAAGCCACGGGCCGTTCTTCAGCGATTTTCAGAGCATCGGGCTCGACAATATGTGTAGTCTTCGCGACGCATGGGCCATCGTCTCTGGGAAATCTTGGTCGTGGAGGAGAAGCTCAGGGAGGTTGTTGGGCCTCTCGACAGAGACATGTCTCAGCTGCTTCGCAATCTTGCAGGCCATCCTACCACCGTACGCTGGCATCAGGAAACCAACGCGTCATTTTATGAGTAGCTTCTCACCATGATACCCTAGCGTAGCAAGAAGACGCCGGCTGAGATTTTACACACCAACTACGAACGCCTGAGGAGACTCGCCGCCGGCGTACGCACCGGACGTGGCCTATTCACCAAGGCTGAGACCGAGAACATCCGCAACCATCTCCTGATTTTCATGGAGGGTGCCTGCAAGCTACGGAACTTCATCGAGAAGTCTAGGCACCACGTCTCAAATGTGACGGGTGATCCCATTAGCGGCGTGGCCGCTATAGCAGCTCGGTGGAATATTCTCTGTGATATATTTGTTTGCACCAAGCTGTGTGTGAATAATATTGAGAGACAGTTGGGACAACTCGCGACAGACTCGAGACAGATGGAGGAGACTTACGGGGTGAGTCTCAGAACTCAGTTAAGCGTTACGCCGAGGGACGCAAGGAATGTGAAGATATTGGAGGATAAGATGGCCAAATGGATGAGTACGATTGTAGGAACAGTGAAACAGTTTCATCGGTTCGAGTTCGAGGGCTGAAGAGAGTCAGGAGGCCCGAGGGGAGTGAGCTCAAAATGTAGTTAGCTGCCACCCGGCCATCGTTGGTCTGGCCAGGCAATACCCAGACGGAGGGAAACTCCATGCAACTCCTACCATATAACCGTACTGTTAGCAGTCTGTATGCAATTCACATATTCTGGAGTGGATCAACCATTCAGCCCGGCCCGTCCATTTGCAAATAGCTTCATCCAGCATGCCAAGACCAGTGGTATTCATTCAGCCCAGAACGTCATCGATACCCCTCTTGTACCCTGTGTAACCCTTCTTATTTTAGGCTGCAATGCCTGTCTCAGACTGTGCTGTGCGACACCAGCCCCTCTTCTCACGCGAGGAGGGCACGAGGACTTGTATTCTCTGATGGGACCGGAAAGCGTCACCCCTGTCCTCACTCTTCCCTCTTACTTTCTTCATCCTTCATCTCGGTTCCATCAACTGAGACTTGCCCCGTCTAAAGGGCACCCATTAGCATCTCCCTCGCGTCCCATGTTTCATATGATGATCAAGACCAAAAACCATGGGGATCATTGAAGGGGTATGCTTCATCTGTAATGTTTTGCTAACCTTTGGCTGGTCACGATATGACACCGACGAGCAACGTCGTTTCGACGACAAATACCTCGAAGAGCTACGGAAACACTCGAGTCATAGGGCTCACTGGCGAAGTGAGGACAATGTCAAGATGGTGGCCTGGCTCGCACACAATCGCCAGTCCAAGTCGACAATCTGCTCCAGTCAGATGGAGCTGTCCAAGGTGGCAAAATCGATCGGAATCGACCCGAACACTCTACAGAGGAGGCACCGGATCGTTCTGAAGAAGATGATGATCAGTTCCATGTGCTATGCACTTGGCGATATTCGGGCTCAGTTGACCCATCGAGGGCCGGGCTACAATTATAATACAGAACAGATTTTCAAAACATCATAGCATCATAACCCAATGCTAATAAAGCGGCATTTTTTAAACCTTCTGCAAGAGCAGAAGAGTCACACCTAGCCACATCATGATAACAGGTCCAGCCTCTGCTATTCACACTTCACACAATACTCAAACAGGGGAGTTTCCGAGTACTGGGATTCGTCTGCCAAGGTGACCAGACTCCGATGGCCGGTCGAGTTGGTGAGAGAGTTGACGCCGGGTGTGTGTGAGATGGTCCAGACGGTCGTTGGTGAGGGGGCGAATCGCCAGGAGCATGAGCCCGAGGCGGACGAGGCGTATGTCATCTCAGATGATGACGATGACGGTGATTTCAAGGACTGGGAAGGAGACGTGGAGATGGGGCTGTTTGAGGCATTTCCGAAGATGACAGCAAACTTGCAGCTGCTAACAAGAAGAATAGATGGGGCTCAGCAGTCGACTTCGAGGCAGGATTTTGAGGTCAAGTTAGTCTCGGGCTTAGAGGCGTTCACCATGAAAGTGCAAGCTCAGCTCAAGAAGGCCTTGAATACGAAGAAAAATACAATTCAGGAAACGGTTTGACTGGAAGAAGAGAAGAGGCACGACTCACACGCCATCTTCGAGGCGCAGGTGCAGCTCGAGCGGGCCCGAATCCAGTGGCAGCGCCGGGAGCAGGAGCAGAGAGACTCTGAGTGCAGACGCCACAAGCAGGACCTCGACGAGGAGGACAGATTGAGCCAGGAAAAGAAGCGCAAGAATGCCAAGGACCTGGAGAAGGCGCGAGAGGAGGAGAATTTGCTGAAGCAGAAGCAAGTGAAGATGAGACACGAGTACTTACAGAAGATTGAGAGCCAACAACGTGACTTTGAGCGAGAGATGAGCGAGTCGCTGGAGCAAAGTCAGCTGTTAGCTTCCTCCGAGAAAGAAGGCGAAAAATACCATCAACCACTCGACTTTCCTGCTCAGCAACAACATCATCGGTCATGACATGCGTGTGGATAGTATCAATCCACACTCTGTTTTCGCTTATCCACGTCCTCATCGTGGACTGGCTGAACCTATGATGGAGACCTTTGAGACTACCTTGAACTTGAGTACTCAGCATATACCTACTCGATATCCTCTCAGGATGGTCAAGGGACTTTACAATGTTATGACTTTTATATGAGGTCTAGCCATACTGGCTTACTCAACTTGGTCAATGGCGATTCAGGAACAGCCAAGGGGGGCATCCAGAACCATGCTGTTTCTACGTCCCGACCTAGGACTGGCAGTGACAGGACCTGTTTTTGCAATGTGGGACTCAGTTGGTACAGGTGCTTGGGGGTTGTAAATCACCAGTACGAAATAAGTATAGTAGAATATGACCTTGATAAAAAGGAGACTTGATGATAACAACGGGCCAGGCCGTTCCTCGATCACGGCCTGAACTGCATCATTATGTACCAGACCGTACTAAGGCAAGAAGCATAATAGGAAGCAGCCTTTGCCCTCTAAGCAGAGGTATAGGGTTAGGGTTAAACAGATCTTTGGTCTGTATACACAAATATGACCTGGCGTCGCAATCACTCTTTTCAGGCAAGGCGCGCATGGCACTTCCCGACAGGGCTTATCGCGAGACTCCTTAGGAAGGCGGTCCTTTGGCTTCAGGATGACAGCTTGCAAGTTTGCGTCGTTGCGATTGGGGGAATCGGGATTTGCACGAGGCTCTGGAACGGTGTCATGGTCCGGGTTCGGCGCCATAGTCAAGATCATCGTCTGGACCGGCGGCTCGGAACCGCGGGTCGACGATCGGAGTGGTCTCACGCATGACCTCCGGGTAGGTGCTGGATCCCTGATTCTGCCGCTTCTGGGGGCGGTGCTCACCCTCAAGGTTCGCAGCCTGACGCTGAGTGCTCACGGGCCAATGAGAGTCAAAGAGCATAGAATGAGGCACTCACTCGTTTCTCCCGAGTGCTTTGCGTAGGCTCTTCTCTGGGTGTGTCCTTGCCCCGGACAAGCTCTTGTTTTTCGTCCTTTTCCTCCTCTTCCTCTCGCTCTTGGGTGGTCTTTTTGCCCCGGCATTTGTTCTTCTTGCCAGCACTGCCCGGGCGCCCTTCTTGGATGTATGCCAGAAAGTTCCGCTCCTAGGGTCCTCCCCCCAGTCGACTTTAATGTTCCCTCGCGGCCAGGGGTTTCCGGCCAGTAGCTTGTGGGTCGATGATGCATGCGCTCTCTAACAGGATGATAGATGACTGAGATGCTGGACCGAGAGAAAAGTATGACAAGGACGAGAGAATGGACGAGGGGAGGGACGGGGCTTTTAAAGCCCTTTCACATTCAAGAGGAAAATCCGAATTACTCATAATAACAACAGGTGGCTGCAGCACCGCGTGGGTGAAGCCATCGTCAGTCTAAAAAGTTCAACTCGCTGCATGAAGCCCGTAATCCTCGTTCGTAGCGTTTGGGCAGACATTGCAACCAATGCAACAGCGACCTGTGAAGAGTTGCCCAGCCAGGGACAGCCACCCTCCGGCTTCTAACGTCTGGCCCTACAAATCATCTGTCTCGGTGGCGTCGGCTGAGAGGGCAAATAACAGAAGACGGGAACAACCATGTCGACGTGTTGAAGGTGGGTAGTGATGAAAATCTTTCGCATCCGCTGCCCGTTCGAGACTGAGACACGCCGTCTCTTTGGAAATAGGGTTGATGGTTTCAGAGCAGGACATGGGAATTCGCATCTGGAGGAAGATTGGCGCTTCGCCCGTCGTCAAGCCCAGGTTTGCCTGTGGTTAGAAGCTCAGTAATCAACATCTCGCAATTCAATGCCTGAGTTTGAGTTTCTATTTAGCATCTTCTGCATCTACGCAAATCGGTTTGATCGACATTCGACCATGGCAGGCAAGTCTGCGTAATTGCCGTTGGTGGAAAATAATAGAACAAAATCAGCGTCATCCGCGTTCATTTTTAGTTGAACTGTATCTGGCGTACTCGGCGTCTTTTTGTGTCGCGTCTTTTGCGTCTTCTATTTCTTTATAGCCTATGGTGCCAGTAGACTTTACCTTGTGAAGCCGGTGATGCCATCAAAATGACTCACCTTTCGCTCTTTTGTTAAACGACATTTTGCCTCACTCGCTTTTTGCTCAAGTAATAAACCCCTCACAAAAAGAAAAGATGAAGCCATCACTAACTGCTCGCCCTACCGAAAGGAGACTCATTACCAAGTTCACCCGCACTCTTCAATCCCACTCATGATAGCCGGTTTGCGAGAATCTTAGTGATAGAATTAACCTTTCTCGCTATGAGCAGGTGTAGAGTTTGCCCCGTGCTCATCATTTTCCCCTATCTCGCCAGACAATCTCACCCTCGCCACACCTTATAGCTCATGTACACCCAATAATATTACTGATCGCTATAGGCTGTAATAGCGGCTTAGCTGACTGTATTGCGTAGACTCCAGCTAGGGTTGACTAGTCCCTGCCTAACCTCATGCACCTCGCATTCGTTAATACAGCACGATCATTGGCTAAACTTAGCGGAGAAGACTAACGAGCAAGGCCAGTCTTCGGTACATATAGTGGAGAAGGGAATTCCAACCCATCCTTGTCCAACTCACCTTCGCATTCGCATGCAGCCACTGCTGACTGGACACGCACTCTCTCACTTCCAATAAGGCACAAGGCCAAGTGGGAAAACACACCGGAACTTCAAACCCAAAGCAGTTCCTGTATCGGCGCAAAGCTCGTCTACTGGGTCTGCTCCTGCATTCAGTATGTACCAATGCTTCCCTAGTCTCCTAGAGGTTGACGTACGTGGCTAACACAAGATAGAACGACTCAGGGCACTCAGACATAAGGTCTGCGCACCGTTATGGGATCTAAACGACTAGGCTACAGGAAGTCTCGTATGGGCTGTTTGAGATGTAAGAAGAGACGCGTCAAGGCAAGCCACCACTATTCTTCTCGAGTTCTCCCCAGGGGCTAATTCCATCGCCCATCAAGTGTGACGAATGCGCTCCGTGTGGTGCGTGTAAGCGTCATGATGTGCCGTGCAGCCTCGACCGATCCTATAGATACGCCCCAGAAAACTCATTGTCCCCGGCGGCGGCGTCCAGTCATACCGACACCACTCAACCCGTTCAGGTAAGTCAAGATGCAGTATTGACAACTGCATAAGGCTAATTAATCCGGACCAGAAGCTAGAAGAGGATGGCACCACTAAAGCCACCACAGCCCACCCACCGTCCCTACTCTTGTCTTCGCCAAAGGCTATGCCAGCTGATTATGGAGCCTGCTGGATCTCCGACGCCGAGCTTATGCACCATTACTCTACTGTCGCATATCGTACCCTCTCCTTTTCGGAACATGTGGCCCCTACCCTCCAAGTTGATGTGCCTCGGGAAGCCATTTCTCACCCTTTCTTCCTGCACGAGATCTTGGCTTTTTCGGGATTTCACCTGGCGTATCTCTACCCTAGCAAACGCAATTCGTATACTCTTCAGGCCTCCAAACACCAAAGGCTAGCCATTAGCGGTATGAGAGACGCGTTAGCAGGCTCGATCAATGCGGGAAACTGCCATGTCATCTTTGCTACGTCACTATTTTTGACAATAAGCGCCTTTGCCGCATTTCCGAGCTATGAGCACCGAGACTGTCCAAAGCCCATCAAGGCACTGATCGATATCTTCTCTCTCGTCAGTGGGGTAGGCAGTATTCTTCGATCGTCCGAGGAAGATATTCTTGCTGGCCCCTTGAAAGGAATTTTTAGTCCATACCCCTATGTCGGATCAACGGACGCGGTTGATTCGCTTGTTGGTCGACTACCCGAGCTGCGCAAGACATTATCGGAGCTTCTTACTTCCAACCAAGACACAACGCAAACATTGATCACATCCGCTGATGCTCTCCTCTTTTCTATCACTGCATTGCGTAAGAATGGGGCGCTCGGGGCACCGACGGAGATTAGATCTGTTTTCTTCTGGCCCATGTTGGTTTCGCCTGGGTTTCTCGACTTAGCAAAGAGTGAGCATGCAGCCGCACTTGTCGTCTTAGCGCATTACATGGTCTTGATACATATGTCCGAGCCCCATTGCTGGTTTCTTGGCTCCTGGACAAGGTATTTGGTTGACGATCTGGCAATAAAACTTTCAGGCTCGTAATGGATCCACGTAGTAAACTGGGCTATAGACCTCGTTCAGAAGGGACACCCGAAACCTAGCACTCCTAATTAGTCACCTTAGTATGATATCTCGTTGCCGTATTCGTTTGTTAACAGATACCTTGAGTATCGCACAAATGAGAAAGTGTTCTCACATGGTTAAGCCCGGTTGGATGCGCTTTAACAGGAATAAAGGCCATACGCCATTGGCTGGGCTTCTAGGGACCGTCCCCTGGTCATTCTCAGCTCTATTTGGAGATAGATCCGGCTACGTGTGCGAGTTACATCGTGACTGGAGTCATTTCTGCAAATTAAACAGCCCGTAATTTCAGAACTCAGCCACTCGGCATAGCAAGTCAAGATGACAGGGTAGAGTCATGCGCCTGTTGTCTTCTTTCCGCGTGTATACAAGAGACCCCATTCCGACTCAATCAAACAGCCAACACCTCACCACCCAATCCATTCAGAGCACAAACTAAGAATCATGGTGTCGATCTACCGTACTGGTGCTTTCGTCGTCTTTCTATGCACTACAGCGGCCTTCTTGCACTCTCCGGTGAAGCGTCAGAATGATGCAGCGCCATTTTGCAGCGACTTCAAGAACACCCACCAAAACATCACGTACTTGCCCGATGAAACAAAGTACACAGAACTCAATCAAGGTCAGTGACTTCCCTCCCTCGCCTGTCGCAACGGCCCACCTATCGGGTGACTGGCGGTCAAGGTATCAATGCCGCAAGGTTTGGGACTGTGTCGTCTAACGGTCGACGATATCTTAGACTATTTCAGCGCAACCTCGTGGCTCGGACCGGCTTGTGTCATAGCCCCAGAGACGGCGTTGGATGTTTCTGATGCGGTCAAAGCACTAGTCGAAAGCCAAATACAATTCGCCATCAGAGGCGGAGGCCATATGCCCATTCCCAATGCAGCCAACATAGACTCATCAGGAGTTCTGGTGGCCAGCGCCTCACTTAACCAGCTGATCTTGGACGCTGAGAAAGAAACTATTGAAGTCGGGGCGGGTAATAAGTGAACAAACGTCTATGAGTACCTCGAGCCATATAAGTTAACCGTTGTCGGAGGGCGTGCTGGTGAGTCGATGTCGGTGCGCATCCTCGACTTGACTGACAATTCTATTCCAGGGCTTGTTGGTGTTCCAGGGTTCTTGCTCGGCGGTGGTATCTCTTTCTTTAGCAACGAATACGGCTGGGCTTCCGCGAACGTCGTTGGCTTTGATGTGAGTGCAATAACAGGGGGCATGGCCAAACCGCTGCTGCCCACCAATAATCCATTTTACCATCCTAACTAACTAGTTGACGGTAGTGCGTACTTGCAAACGGAGACATAGCGTCGGCCACGGCAGAAAATGAGTTTTCGGATTTGTTTTGGGCACTCCGTGGAGGTGGAAACTCGTTCGCCATCGTCGCAGCGTACCATGCAATCCTATTCTACAATGGAGACTCAGCTACGCCCTCCTCGCTAGACAACTTTACGAACCCCGACAATATGGGACAGGCCAGTTCTACATTCCAGGTACGGCCTTCTATGTATAACTGGACTGAAGAAGCCGATTCTAGTCGTGGAACCCTTCGCGGACTGCGGGCGCGTTTCAACGTGGTGTCTATCAAGGCGAATAGGCAGGCTCTTCAAATCATTCACGATACCTTTTTGGATATGGTCCAAGAGTCTATGACCAGCATAGAAGACCTTGTCACGAGCCTGGCATTTGTCCCTATTACGGAGCGCTTCCTAACGGTCTCGGAGAAGAATGGCGGGGACCCAATGGCTGTCGACCCTTCCCAGGCGCCATACATCCAAGCCGAGCAAACCTTGCTTTGGTCGAATTCCGCGGATGACGAGAAGATTGTTCAGTTTCTGAGTAACTTCAACGCCAACATCACCGATCAACTGAGTGGTTTGGATAACGTGTTGTCTTCCTACCTCTACTTAAATTATGCGGACGACACTCAAGCAGTCTTTGCAGGATACCCTGCAGCCAACACTGACAGACTCAAGGAAATACGCGCCTCATATGATCCTGAGATGACGTTTACTGACCTCATGCCTGGCGGTTGGAAAGTGGAAGACTCAGTTAAGCGTACAAGATATGGAAAACAGTGAAAGCTTAAGGCGAGGGCTTTCGAGTGAGTTTGGGGTTAGAAATAGGAGACGGTGAATGGAGGTGGTTTTCTGACACAATGCAATCGTTGAGCGCGGTCTCTACTTGACACACATTCTCTTCGTACCGGGGGTAGGAGTTGGCCCAGTTCTGGGCAGAAGAAACAAGGGCAGATCTAGACCAACACTTGCACCTAGGCACTTTTCAAATACAATTTTATATCAGGATACTCCAGTATTAGAAGACGAAACACAAGTGACACGTAAGCCAGTACGGATAACTAGTTTTGCAGCCGCGCTATAATTAGATCGCCCCTATATTATTGTATAAGCTTTAACTGAGATCGTTACGGCTAATTGTGTTGGGTTGATATAGTTGCTGTTAATGGGGCATTACGACGAGCCCCTAAACGCTGCTGTAAGATAAATAGTGCCCTGGCCGTCTGTGCTGTTCGAGCTGTCCAAGAAGAGGGGCTTGAACAAATGTTTCCAAGCACAACTCTTCATATGCGTGCCCTTCCTACGCATAGCCAGATTCGCAAATATCGTCGTATCATATCTTTTATGTTTGCTCCCACTAATTGCAATCGAGACTCGGCGTAAATCTCGTTCCGTGAAATCTACCGACTTGGGTGGTACTGGAGTATTGTTCACACATAAGTCTCGTCGTGGATAATTTCTAATAGTCCAGGGTTTATGCACGAGTTGGTTCACTCAACGTGAGATATTTATTTGCATTGTGTATGGAGTACATTATTCGCGTCATCTCATCTACGTTCCCTGCGTCATTTGCGTCCTCGAGTTTTCCTCCTTTTCCCGTATTTTGCGTTGTTGCGTTTCTCTGGTTGCTGAGTTCCCTGGTTTATTTGCGTTATTTGCGTCCTCTGTAATCTCCGTTCGTTTCGTTCCCCATGATCTGCGTCATCCATATAATTTCAAGTCTGAGAGGATGCAACATAAAACTCCTTTTCGGTCTCTAGTAGCGGTCAGTGGACAAGTGGATGGAGGCGTCGTCATACTTGAATGTTCCGCAAATGCTCCGCAACCAAAACCGGTAAGGTCGGGAAAAGTTCTGTTACCCTCAGTTGGTTAAGAGCGGCGGAAGTTTCACGGAATATTGTGGGTCTATATCTCTGTTCGTCCTCACGAAAGTTCCACTGGAGCTCGAATGTCCGAGGAATCCTGAAAGAGTAGGACGTGACGAAGTTAAATCGCTGTCCTGAGTTTTGATTTCAAAGCAATTCCTCCCTGTTTTAGCCCAGTACAGCGAAGGCCCCTGCAAACGGGATAGTAACATAAGCGGTCCATGATATGGCGTAGAGACTTATCGGAGGGAAATCAGGAGTGACTGAGCCTACAGTTATGCCGATTACTACTTAACGTAGGGTCTGTCAGGTACTAAAGTGGGTGATTGACGTTTTAGGTAAAATCAACTTAATTACTGCAACATCAGTCTGTCAACTCTACTTGAGTCTTTTAGGCGGGAATAGGGCCGATTCTAGCTTTTAGACTAATTACAGCTAGAAGAACTCTCAGGCAGTTAAAAAGGCTTATAATGCACCTTATTAATTTCTACGATTGAAATTGGTACTTGATCTTTTGCCCTAGAGCGTAACCGTTGAGTTATGCCATAACATAGGTACTGTAGCAAAGCACATCATCCTAGCCGACAAGGTTCTCGGGATACGACATGGGGGATGGGATCCGCCAGGCTATGCCATGCTGTTGAGGAAGGAGGCAAGGTACGCTGAAAGCTCTCCTCTGTGCGTATTTAAGGGGGGACTGGTGGTGTCAAAATGCGTCATCCACAATCCGAGGTCCTCGTCGGCCTATAAGCACAACTCCTTTTGTTCTCCCAGAGCTGCTCCAGCACAAATCCCGCACAATATGATCGAAGAGCTAGAATTGAACAAGGACTGGGCCGATCCCCGTGTGACTGGCTTCGACAACTTCACCAAGACGGTTCACCATAAGCCTGGGGCCACCCTCCAGTCATCGCTTAACCTCCCGACTCCATATAATGTATGCGTCGTTGGTGCCTCCCGCGGCATCGGCGCTGGCATTGCACGATCCTACGCGAAAGCAGGCGCGAGCACCATCATTATCGCAGCGCGCAACACGCAGCAGCTGCAGGATGTGGCCTCCCAGATCGCCGGCATCAACCCGCACTGCGTCGTCTACAGTACCATGTGTGACATTGCGTCGCCAATCTCGGTCCGCGACCTCGCTGCTTTCACTCGCGAGATGCTGGGACAGCAGCACCAGCATTTAAACGCTGTCATCGTCAACTCGGGCTATGCCAAGAACCGCGAGCTCGACGTAACTGAAGGCGACGCCACGGACGAGTTCTGGGCACAATCTTTTGCTGTCAACACTCTTGGCACCTACCATGTAGCGCACTACATGGTGCCCCTCCTACTGAAGGCGCCGGAGGACGCTGGCAGGGCGTTCCTGGTCGTTGGGACCGTCGCTGCCCTCATTCGCAGAGGGCCGATCGCTCCTAGCAAGTACTGCATCAGCAAGCTGGCGCAGATGAGAATAACCGAGCACATAGCCGAGCAATTTGGCTCGAGAGGCCTCTTCTCCGCCGTGGTGCATCCCGGTGCAGTGGCGACGGAGATGGCGATTGATGCGTCGCCGGACGACAACTTCAAAAAATGTACGTAATTTGAGTTTCCACTCCCTGCCAACACTTAAGCCCATGGAGGCGATGAAGGCATGTGCTGATGAGACGATAGTCCTGATTGATGATCCAGAGCTTTGCGGATATTTCTTTGTGTGGCTCACACGCCAGCCCGGGAGCCTGCAGTGGCTTAACGGAAGATTCTTGAGCGCGAAGTGGGATCCTGATGAGCTAATTGCCCAGAAGCAGCAGGTTTTGGAGGGGGACTTGTTGAAGCTCGAGTTGAGAGCGGATTGATTCGATTCATTGGGGAAATAGGGGGAAGGGGGAAGGGGGGGGGGTTCTTTGTGGATTATCTGAGAGAGCAATACTCGGTGTGCATTATGTAAAGCGACTATGCGGCTGCCTTCATCTGTCAGCATCATCCGTAGCCTGAACCATCAGAGCTTAAGAGAATGGTTTAACTCTGCTGCTGACTTTCTCGGGCACTACGACGGTGAAGCCGTCTTCAACTTTGACTTACTACAGTATGCCTCTTCTAGTATGCAATGGTTGCGCTTTCGCCAGGTGACGATGAATTAGGGGTTATACAAGGAGCAGGAAAAGGTTTAACTGGCGGGGAGGGCGTGCACCTTGTCACGAGCCCTGATGATGTGTGGCGTCTCATCGGATGTGTGTATATTCTTAGTTGCATATGATCCCATGAGAGGTTTCGTAATATAGAGTGATATTCTAATACTATGAAAGGAAATATCGCGTACTTCTCCTGTGTCTTATTGTGAGGCTCTGATACTCTAACTTAATTCCCACCGTTAAGATAGCTTAACAGCAACAACTTTCGCCGGCTCAGTCACGCTGCCATTAACCGGGGCCCCAAGTCCGCCATTCGTAGTAACATACAGGATATTGCCATACCCCTTTGACGTTGCCAGGCGCGCCGAGGTACCACCTGCAATATCCAAGGAGGTAGCTGCACCCCCGACAGTGACTGCGTTACCATCGGGGTCCACACGAATAATCTCGCCCCTACCAACAGTTGCAATATATGCTATACCCTCGGGGGTCAACGCGAAGTCATCCATAAATATACCACTTAGAATAATTTCTACCGAACCCGCGATGGCGAAATCCTTGGTAATAGGGACGCGGAAGAATGTTTGGTTGCTTGTGCTGGCGTAGTATAAAAACCCATTTTGTACTCGGATACCATTTATGCCTGCAAAGTCGGTATCTGACATAATACTTGTTATAGACCCTTTGCGAATGTCGATTTGGTATACTGCTCCAAGCACTGTATCGGATACCAGGACCTCTGTTTTGCTCCAAGGTGTTATGCCATTGATGAACATAGCCTCAGGCAGTTCTGTGACTAGTTTGAGGTCTGGATATCCTCCCTTAAATTCGAGCAGGAAAATCTTCATTGACCTAGGCTTGAAATTAAAAGGATCGGCAGTTACATTGCCAGCACCGACGATGTAGGTATTGGATGTCTGCTGGCTAATGCCGATAGCACCGGAAACGCCAGGGATAGTAAGGAGGCTCCGGCCTTTTCTGGTAATCGGGTTGATCAACCAAAGCTCGGGTACATCCATTCTTGTCGCAATGATCTGGCCATCAGGGCGAATGGCAAGGTTCTCGAACCAGCTTCCGGAACTGTTGAGTTGGAAGATGGTGGATATTGCCGCTTGCTGCTGCATGGGTTGACAACCACAGATGGGCGCCAGCAAAGATATGAGGGTAAGGATGAAAAGCTTCATTTTGAGGAGTAAGATATTTGAAGTGGTTCTACCAATGAGTCAAAGGGATTATGCATGACCAAAATCAAGCAGATATCAACGATATATATATAAATATAAGGCGTAGACTAAACTTGGGTGTCTATGTTAAATCAACAAAGATCCCACTCGGAGATAAAGGAGTTAGTAAACGGGCTGAATATTATGATAATCAACAAGACGCGTAGTTGATACGGCAAGGGGCTGCAGCCCCGGAATCGTCTCGGACTCCGGAATATATCTAGACAGTGGTTTGTAAACTATTTCCTGTTCTATCTGCATCGGGGACTCCTATTAGCTCCTGCTATAAACGCAATGCTACTACCTACGGCCTTCCGCAGCAGGGCTCTAAATAAGACTAGTATTTAAACTTTAGCATTTTAAGCTAGCTACTTATAGCTTAGCAGGGTTAAGGAGAATAATATTTAGAATACGGAGATAGCAGTCTTAGCCTGACCGAAGGCGGAGTTAAATAGCTCTCGAGCCATTAGTACCACTAGTCCAACAGCTCCCGCAGTTTACCTACTGCTATTATCGGCAGTTGACCTCTGCGTTTAGAAGCCAGTAGTGACTCGGAGTTTTAGTCAATCCCGGGGATCGTTAATAATGGATTGCTAAGTTGAAGATGTCAAGTCTTGACCTTGATTTTACGCGTAATCTAACCATGGCTTACGAATGAAGGCCGCGTGTCTTGTTGAAACCCAGGATGGGAACGGTATGAAGACGGAACATGACACATTCCGTGCCGACCATTAAGGTGATTCGCCATATGCGAGTCAAACGAGGTCGGTTCGACTCTGTTCGACTCGCAATACCATGATTGACCAAGCAGATCAGAATAGTATATATGGCTTCACTCATTCCCACTTCCCTGTCTAGGTATCTCTTCAGCTCTCAATGCAACTCGACTACTCAAGAATACTTCTTGATATTGTCGGACGTGAATCAATACCTGCAACAACAGCTTTCTTCATTCTTTGCCAACATGTCGCTCAATGCATCGATGCGTGCGGTTCTGTGGGAAGGGGTGCCACTGGAGATGAATGTGGCCTCAGTTCCAGTTCCAGTGATTCGAGAGCCAACCGATGCTCTGGTCCGAATTACCGCCTCGGCGCTATGCGGCACTGACCTGCACACTTACCATGGTTTGTTCGGAAGTCCTAATGTGCCCTGGATTATGGGCCATGAAGGGATGGGTTATGTCGAACGGGTTGGCGACGCGGTTTCGGCGTTGACTGTCGGCGACCTCGTCGTCGTCCCAAGTCAAGCCTCTATCGGCCATCTCGCGATGGGACCAGCCTTGCCTGAAGGGTTTGGCTTAGGCACTACGTACGGTGATGGAGGTGGCTGTCAATGTAAGAGATCCCATGCCCGATTTTAGTTTAATTCATCGGGCCAACTAGGCTAACTTGTCGTCGTTCCTAGCTGAGTACGTTCGTGTACCATTCGCCGACGATAGTCTTATTCCTGTCCCTGGTCGCGCCAACGGCACCAACAGCACGGTCGATGATATCGAATACCTCTTCCTGTCTGATATTTTCCCTACTGGCTGGGCAGCTCTTGATTTCGCCAACTTTGAGCCAGGCGATACTGTCGCCGTTTTCGGAGCCGGACCAGTGGGCTTATTAGCTGCTTATTCTGCTATTCTCCGTGGAGCGACGAAGGTCTACTCTGTTGACTATGTGCAAGAGCGCCTCGATCTGGCCGCCTCCATTGGAGCTATCCCTATCAACTTCCGAGAGTCCGACCCGGTGCAGCAGATTCTAGCACACGAGCCTGACGGTGTTATCCGATCCCTTGACTGCGTGGGTGCGGAAGCCTTAAACAACCAACTCGAAAGGCAGCAGAATATCATTCTTAACCAGATGATTGAAGTAACAAGAGCTCGGGGTGGCATCGGCATTGTGGGCGAGCACTCGACTGTAGGAAACGACACTGCTGGTGCGCCCCTTGGAAGTACCCTGGAACCGATTTACGAATTTCCATTCTCCCAGCTCTACATGAAGAGCCTTTCACTCCGAGGTGGCTCAGTCGATCCTAAGCTTTACGCCGCTCAACTCGCGGAGATTATCCAGAACGGAAAGGCCCGTCCGAGTTTCATTATCAGTGCATTGATTGATATGGAGGAGGTCCCTCAGTATTACCAGCTTTTCGATCAGCGGCAAGAGGTCAAGGTGGTCATTCGCTTCCCCTAATCGTCTTGATTGGAAAAGCCCTTGTTTATTTCTAGGAGCGTCGCGGAGGGGGCTACAGACAGGTTTCCCAATACTACTGGGCTAGTCTTTATTTCATTCTCAACTCCAAGATATGGCCTGGGAAACTGGGTTTTTGTATCTTAAGTTTCTAAACGTATTATAAGTAGAGTTAAATGAAGAGGATTTGGAAATTTAATTATAAACCTATCATAGTAAAGCTTCTACTACTGAGCTTCCATACTGATTCTATCCCATTTCCAAACCCAACTACATGTCCCAAACGACACTCGACTCTCCGCCGCAGAGGCAGCTTGGCACAACTCTTACAGGCCCATCTCAGCGTCATATCTTGCCTTCTCGTCAGGTGCATATTTACTGATCTTGGTAGCTAGCTCCTAAGTCGATCCACCTGGCGGGTAGCCCTTCCATTGAGCCTTGTCGAGTCGGCTTGATAGCCGACCTTGGGCATTCAAGGTGTCCTTATGGTCCAGCAAGCGAAAGACATGGTAAGTACGGAGACCTGTGCCGCGACATCGGCTAGCGAGGCATCTTCAGTAGTCGTAGGCCATGGTTGGAGCACCAGTCTATATGTTCTACTCTGCTTCAAGGGTAGTCTCGTTGTAACCTACCCATTTGACTAAGAGCTCGGCGACTTTGTTCTGTCGTCGAAAGCATGCCCAATGATGCCCTCGACGGCGTAGAAGTGGTCGTCTTGTTCGTTATCTTGGTCGGCAACGACGTCATTGGGTTGGCCATTCTGGCCCTCGTTGCCAAGGGCGATTTTCATGGGGTCGGCGGCAATTCCGGCGAAACGGAGAGCAGCATCGACAATGTTGAAGCGTTCATCGGATGTCCAAATAAGATCCGAATCGGTCGAGATGGTAGCAAGCCTCCCCAGTCGTGAATCAGGAGCTGGCGACATCTCGATGGTTGCGGGTCGTGACCAACTTGGATCGAGCTCAACGCTGAAGAACAGAGACAAGTCGGACAAAGGCTCTGAGAAAAACCAATAGTAGGCATTGGAATCGGATGCGAACACAAGTACAGTTCAAGAAGCTGCACTTGAAGATCAGAGACGCAGCGAAATCATTGATCAAGATGGCCCTTCGATCGCCCATGCTAAAAAGCCTCTGAATGTACTATACTGAGCAGCCAGCAAATGGTGACCCTAAGATATGCGGATGAATTCGACGAGATGGCGTGGAATTGACGGCAATCAAATCATTCAACGTCAATCCTTTTATGGAGTATACGGCACGGCACACATAAATCTTCAACGGTCACCGGGCCGAAGATGCGGGAAGGTGTGACGTGAGGGGATTTCACGGGGCCCATGAAAGGACCCAGCTGTAGGGAAGATTCTGAATGTAGAGGCAGGCAAATAAGTACAGGGCCTCGGTCGAGCCACAGCATGGAAATTGAGGCGTTGAGTAGGGGGGTGGCTTGCACCGAAAAGGGAGCCGATGATAAGAAATCACCAGTCCTCTATTTAGTAGAGGAATGCCGAGCTTAGTGACCTATTTCAAGCCCTGTTCTCTTGTTTGTCTGGCTTGTATCAGGTACGGCCATGGAAGCCAGCTCCATGAATCGTAAATTAGAAGCGGGGGAAGCAAAAGGACACACAGCAGAGAGCAGCTCAGAAGAGAGACATTATCATCCGGCCGTTCGCTTCTTACTGATCGCCAATCCTATACGGAAAGCAACTTGAGTGTACAGAATAGATGGCAAAAATGAGTATTCATTCTTTCATGCACGACGAGATCTCGCTTCTAGCACTCAAGACCTGCTTTGGAGTTGAGGGTCTGACTGTTGCGTCGAGAGGAAGAGGGGAAAGACGGAGACTCTCAATCGATTGATTGGCTCATACTCGACCATCATCTGCAGTGGGTGAGTGTTGAATGTTCGTTGCCATTGGAGTTGGCTTACAGGGGGGGCCTAGGGGGGGTTCAGGACGCCACGTGGGAGCAGCCCACTGACCAGGCTGTTGAAGAGACTGATGTTGTGACAAAAGAATAATCGCAGGAAAAGAAGTTCATGAGTCTAGAACGAATTGGCAGCAAAAGGGCGCGTCACCATGTATGGAACGAATTTACTTAAGAACTATGCCGGCCGCCAGAGTCCAAGGTCTTAGTCTCACTCAACCTCTATCATCAACCAGTCCCCATCCGTCTCTTTGTAATCTCTCTTGCAGTCTCTCTGTGACTGTTTAAATGCCTCCAGTCCAGCCTCTGGGTGCTCCTTTCTCCTCAGCTACAGCCATCTCAACCTCGAAGCTCAACAGCCTGGGCAGTAGCACCAGGAGTTGCGCAATGACTATCCAGGGGCTTATGGGAAAATACCCAAGGGAATTCGTCCCAGGGTAACCCATACCAACTGTTCCTTGAGCAATCTAGAGGACCTTCGCTCCCTCTTCATCAAGTATTCGAGGCCCCGGGCGAACGAACAATCTCCTTGATGATATCCATGACTTCTTGATCAAGGAGGCGCAGCGTCATCAAAAGGCCGATCAAACCAAGCTCAATGGCAATAATATCTAGAACAAATTCCAAACAAGAGGAGACATCCCGGGAGGAGGCTTAGGGCGGTAGATCAATCACTCGAAACTCGACCTGGTCCGGTTGAAGAACTGGATGGCCTCGAGGCCTGCGTTGGAGAGTTGGAAAATGAGCTCGGGCAGTTGGAGGAAGAGATCAGCGGCACCACTGACACCAACGCCAAGGTGAAGCAACTCGAAGACAACACAAAGAGTTTCAGGCAAATACTACACCACACGCAAGCCAATGACAGCCAACAGCGTCAAGTTGCTGTGGCCGAGCATGTCCAAGCAGTGTTTGAGCTGTAAGTACTTACTAGAAGCGAAAGACAGCCAAGAGAGGGTTAAATAGTGCAACGGCTGGAAACAGGGACTGTGAATTGGAAAAGCAGGCGGCGAAAACGACGTACACCATTAGGCAATTTGGCATGCTTCTTGATGTTGGCTTATCGGGAATGGATGAGCTCTTCTAGAAATTCCCGGGAATGGTTTAAAAGACCAAGGGCATCATTGAGAGGAAGAAGTACTGTGGATTGAGGATGGTAATAGTGGACAATGGAGACCCTCCCGTGTCTCGTGAGCAGTCATTATTCAGGTCTGAGTGATTTCATACATTTTCTTCTTCGTTTACATTGCCCCTCACCCCATTTATTAATAGCTTGTGAACATACTACTCGTCTCAATGGACTTGTGAGTGCATGTCCTCCTATGGCCGAACCCCAATATCCAGCGTCACCCGTCCACGTGATGGATCTCCTCCTTTCTTCCAACTGGAGACGGCAAAGAGAACACAGCTACGTATCTATATACATGTGGCTTGGCCTTTTACCAAAGCGACACCTGTTTCAAACACCACTATCATTTCTTCAGGAAATTTAGCTGCATGGTCCTATACACATCGGGATCTCCTCTCCACATTCCGATAGTCTGTTGCCCTTCAAACGGACACATGCGACTGTGAAGCTACCGTACAGCAACTGGAAGGAGCCTCGCCACCATTTTCCAGTCACCTTAGGTCCCGGTAACTTGACGGGTAAGACAAACCACAAGAGGCAAGTTTGAAGACGGTCTGGGTATTTTATTGAAACCCGCTACACTCCACTACTCTGTTCAACGGAGGATTAGGCCAGGCAAGCGGGATTACACCCGTGGCGTAGGCTACACAAACAAGAAACAACATGAGGTTCTTTCATCCGTCCCACACCTCCTACTTGAAGGAATCTCTGGCAACGCCTCTGTCAACAAAGCCGCGGAAAGCTCGATAGGTCACTTCTTAGTGGTCTCGGGCTTGACCCAAAGGGACCATGCTCTGATTGAGTGATGCTGGCTTGGCTTATCACGATATGCCCTGTCTCACCACCGTGTCCAGACAGTGTCGCCTCTTTGCGATGTGGCCAGTCACCGCTCCCACCCCAAGCCATCGCTCCGTACACGAACAAGGCTAAGCAAGCAATGCTTTCAGCCACCGAGTTATACCATGAAAGTCCTCTCGAGCTGTCAATACCCGATAGCCGCACGCGAGTCGAGTTTGAACAAGCCCTAGACATGCTTGGAAAGGTCAGCGTCGGCCACCCCATCTCAGCGAGAGATGCCCGCGAGATGGGCCCAATCCAAGGGCCCACAGACACTTTCATTCTGTGCTCCAGCCCTGAAGCACGAGATATTCTTCGCAATGGGCCCCCAAACTTGCCGATGCTGATCATCGATGATGAAAGCAAGCAAGCCGCGTTCAACCATTGACGACTTCACCAAGAGACTCGGCGCCGGCAAGACCCTGGATGTGCACGACTTTTCCGATAAACCTGACATACAAGGACGCGTCCCAAAGAATCTCCCATCCCGGGAGGCTCTTGGACATTAGTAGATGATCTTAACATTCTTTCTCTACGCGGCTTTATTATGAGCCACCGGTCGTTTGTCAACTCATACAATCTCTACAATCAAGGTCGAATATGTTTTTAGTCTGCGAGGATAAGGAAGCCCCAACAACAATGTTGGCAGAATGTCTTACTATGCAAGACTTGAACAATGCCCAAATAACTGCAGCGAGAGTCTTATGGCGAAAATACCCTTCCCAATGGTTCAAGTGTTCCCAGGATGGGTTCACCTGATCTTCATCGAACACCTCCCATTGAGTCTAGCTCGAGCACGGCGAGTTGCTAACCAGGTATACCCGTTTGCCTCCAGGCCTATATCCTCGGAATGCTCCATGACTCTTTCGACCCATGCCTCACATAATTCTTCCTGCTCATCTCTTTGCCTCTGGGCTTCTTGCCTGAGATGCTTCAAAGATCTTTCTTCTTTGCGTAACAACTCCCCCACAAAGCGTATAGCAGTTTCCAACTTGACACGTACAACTCGGTCCTGAGAAGCACCGTAGTAATCGTCGCGGCGCACGTCGAGGGCCAGCCCCGCCTCAAATAAAGGTAAGAAGCTGATGGGAGAGTGCAGATGTGCCTCATCTCCTGTCTTGACCAGAAGCACTGTGTATTGTGAGAGCCTGCGGTCATGCGCCTCTTCAAGGTATCGAGCCGCATCCTCGCGCTCACGTCGGGCACGAGCTGGTCCTCTAGCCTCTGACAGAGACTGATCGTCGACAACCATATATAGCGCACGAAAAATATGACATATGTTGTAACCGTGATTTCGCCATGATTGCACCCGCTGGTCTGGCCTGGGACCGAAAAGTGCCGGTCTCTCAGCCACTGGGCTCATTCCCATTCCCTGATCAAACTCGGGATAGAAATCAACCGTGTCGTCTAGGTGATCTGATATCACTCCACAAAGATCCTTGTGGAATGCCGTTAGTTCGTCCAGATTCTGAGGGCCTTTGTCGCCAATCTGAACGGCTTTGGCAAAGAAGCTATGCCGCTGGAAGGGCGGCCGTCCGTCATGTAAACGAAGCCATTGGCGGTACACATAGCGGCCAAGCCTATCGCCTTCGACACTAGTGACTGACGTCGGCTCAAAGTAAACCATGATTTGCTTATTCAGGTATGACATTGTGTCTTGTGGCGCGAAGCGTTGCTTGGACAAGGTTGGCTCTTTGATAGTTGTTAACAGTCCACCTCGACGCCATCCCAATCTATAAGGCTCGACACCGCGTAGGTAGAGAGCCGTTTCTTCGAAGAAAATAGCCCGCAACTCTTTGCGAATCAAAGACGATGCTTCGTCAGGCATTGAGCTCCAGATGACCGCTTGGAGATAGTTGGCATTGTAACTGGGGCAATCCTTTCTGTACCTGTCGATGTCGGGGTTCATTGGGTTGCCATATGGAGGACATGTAATAAGATATGGCGAAATAGCGGAAAATGGTGGTTCAGAGACTTGTATAATGCCAGTGCCAGTCGGCTTCAATGATTGGGGGTTGCCTGACATGATGAGTAGGAAGGATGTTGGCAGTCATGCGAGGGCTGAGTTATTGGTAGATTCTAACGACGAAGATTGTCAGTCCATTGGTCTTATATCCCAGAGAAGTTCAAGGTTTTTACGCCCAAAGCCTAAAGCGCCCAATGTCAAAACCTTAAAGTCGGATGCCGGTGACACGTGAAATGAAACTTGCGCTTTTTGTTACATGAACTCTGAAAGAGAACGTCAGCCCCAGCAGCCAAAAATCATGAACACATGCCGGCACCAAAACCATATCCTAAATCAGCGAAAGTTAGCTTCACCCTTCGCGATGTATAACAACAGAATTAACTTTGCCATGAGTTTTTGTCTATCCTACCCTACAGTCATTGTGGGTTAAGCATGGCACACGCCGTGCACAACTCAATTAGCAGGGTGTTTATACTTCAGAGGATTCAACACGTAGACTGGACCCTCCAGGGATTGGAAGAATGGCCAAATGAACGTTGGTCTCATCCGTCATGGATTGGTCAACACGTCGTTGACTCTGCCGAATCTCAGAAGAAAAGCTATCACCCATGCTTCGCTGATGTCCTTGTCCTTCAACCCTTGGGCTGTAACCATGTAGAGATAGGGAAGCTTGGGTCCCGAAATGGACACTCTATCACGTGTGTGGATGACACTTTGACGCTTTGCGCATCCTCCGATCTCTTTGCCTCTCTTCTCCATCACTACAAGCAGCTTCTCGCTCGTGAGCGGGCTTATGCCTACTTATATTTAGCATAGACTGAGAGGAAAAGAGCGTCCCAGACAATGCGCACAAATGCTCAGTATCAAGGTTGATCCTGGCAACATGTGTGAATGACATGGGCACACTTCCTACCCTATCGCTGCTGCTTCTCGGCAATGATTGACAGATTTGAGGCCGTCCCACTTAGTGCGAAGTTAGACTAGAACAAGCTTAGATCAACGTCCTGAGATAACTCGTGGGCTCAACTGGGCTTATTCTCTTTCCCAATGGGATTTGCTAAACCCATCGGCACAAAATACATTTCGGATCAGCCAGTCCCAATACCCTATGCAGGACACCCGAGTGTCTCCTTGGTAGGAGATGACGATGCGGCAAGATGCGCAGAAGCGTGCGGCTCGCCGTTCCCAGCGCATGCGGTGCCAGGCAATGTGTCCAGGAGTTATATTGCGATTCTGACCAAGCAGTCGGTCAGGCTTGCCCACACCTCCGCCCTCATCCCCTCCCTGGTTCTCTCCGTCGCCCAGGATTACGTGCCGCACCAGGTCAGGACAACATCCCCTTCTCCTCTTCGAGACTATGAGAGCAAGACTCTTCACCGGATCATAACGCCGGTTAGGTACACACACACCAAGCAACATGTCAGATTGGCCCAGCGCCGCGAGAATCCTCATCGCGAGAATCCTTACCGCGACAATGCCCGACGAGGCCGTTCTCATCGTCGCGTCGGATGGCCTTTTCGATAGGCCAGTCGGTTACTCTATGATTCTCCCTTAATTAACTCCTGAACATTATCCAGCTGTCTGCGGCCCTGAGCACGTGGCAGCTGGCCATGCAGCACATACCAGAAGTTAGTCTGCCGAACCGTTCCCTCGACGCAGCCAGTGCAGGGCAACTAATCTGACCAACGACAATAGATCGCCCGCATCCTCGGCTATGTAGTCCATCACGACTTGAGAATTTCTTTGCGAGTCCGCTGGGAAGCGAGTGGCACTGCCACTGAGGATGTCACCAAGGAGCCCGAGTTCATGCTCCAATAAGATTGTCCGGATCTTGTGAATGAATACTGGGCCATAAACGGCGGGCGTGAGGAGGCTATAAGCCTTGACTGGTTATTCGTCTTCTGAATTCTAGCACACTATAATAGAGCCTTCCTAGGAGGCAACTACAGGGACTACAGGGACTGCGTAGCCCAGTGGGTAGGTTACCCAGAAGTGGACGCTTCTTAGCAATGGGCTGCCAAACTTCATTACATGTCGCCACTTACCAAGCAGGCCAATGACTGGGAGCATGGTTTGAGCGTGGGGTGGATTGAAGGAATTGTGTGGCTTGAGATGTGATCACAGATTGATGCGAGTGTATCTATGCACAACCAGTAGGTAACTTCACATACATGTTTCGCTGGAGGTGTGAAGGAGTTGGCGCGCGGTCATGGTAGCAGTGGTTACAATTTCAATCTTGGCGGAGCAGTGTGCTTTTGTCCTCAAGTTTATTAGTCTCGTTCTAGAGAAAGAAATTACGGTCGGAAACGTGGAAGGCTTAAATTACCTAAGAAGAAGCTGTGACTCTTATTTGCCCTAAGGGAGCTGTTGTCGTGATAATTTAAGCTATAATGATTGAAGTCGTGATAGTGTTGTGATGGTTGGTGTTGTGATTTTTGGTGTTGTGGTCCTGGTCGTGGGGGTGGGTCATGAATAGTGGACCACTATCGAGTAAGCCAATAAAGACGGGTCTAACTGCTTTGACCTGTAATTAAAGGCGTCATGATTGGCTAGGAGCCTAGGTGGTCCATGCACCACTACATCGGTACCTAATGACCTCATTGTCAGAAAACCAAGCGCCTTTCACGCGACTGTCTCTCCTGGCCATCTGACGGGTCGTGATACAATGGTAGCATGCATGTTGGATGTTCCCAAATGATGAAAAGAGGAGAGGCCCATGATCGCGAAATACCTATATACCACGACTCGGGATCTCATCTACGGAAAAAAAAAAACCCATGCTCAGCCAAATGCCACCGATGTGAGCTGCTCGATGCCTGAATGATGGCCTCGGCTGAGAGTATATGCACCTGGCCCGAGAGGTGTTTATTGGTAAATTGAGGTGAGGACGCTTTGCGTATAAAACAGTGGACCTTGAGTAAATGTGGTATGGTGGGATCGCCTCGAGCTGTCATCGTCAAAATTAGAGGAGCACCGTCCATAGTTACTAGCTACCCATACTCAAATGAGGATAGGAACGTTTCACTGCCCGGCTATCCTTCCCAAGGCATGCAGAACAAACTGGCTTACTGACTTCAGTTGTTGACCAAGATGCAAGAAGCGCGCATCATCTTGGTGGTCAATCACTACTTTTAAGGTTTTGCCGAGGAAAACATTTCATACTTCATCTTAACCTCAACATGGCTGCCTCCCGAGCTATGAATAGATGATATTGTTCATGCAATATTACATTTGTATTTCCACACAAAGATGATGCCAACTCCCTATGGTTGGAATGTCGAGTCCCCCTCCCCTCTAGGCAGAGATCCAAGCCCTATCGTACGGCCACAGGGGCTACTACGAGCAAGACAAGTGTATTGATTGGCATGGCGATGTTCCCTATCATGAGAACCAGGAGATGCATGGAAGGGACCAAGCGAATTCAAGCAGATGCCTGACCTAGAAGGTCTTTGTTACTGCCTGGGTTGCGACTATCTTCTTCCCTGCGTGGGCCAGCAACTGCATCACTGCTTTTACCCTCCAGTGATTGTTTACAAAGCAATTGGGCTGTTGTGTGGAGTAGTTATATCGCAATTCAGGAGCTCCGAAAACCATTAGGTAGAGTGGACAACCTGCATTTGACAATAGTCTTTGTTTCACATTCTAATTTTTTTCAGTGACATAATTTTCCGATACATGATCATATAATACACCAAGAGACACACTGTGATATCAAAACCCAATGCTGCAATCTTTGTTTCACATCCCCGCCATGGATTTGTAGTGGACAGGCACAGTCTTTCTTTGTTATGCAGATTTACTTGTGTGTACTTCTCCCCGATTGGCAGGCTGAAGGATAAAGCCAACTGCAGTCGATGGTGGTATAAATGACGTCTCGGTCTGGCATACGAACAAAGAACATGATACGTATGCACATGACAGCATTGAACCACAGTGCTGTAAGCCACCGCGACCTGGATAAGGCAACAGCAGTGCGGCGGAGTGTTATGCATGGCCATGCAGCATCAGATCGACAGGAACAAAGCCGCCACGTGCAACGACTTGATCGCGAAGCTGGGATACCAAGCAGGACGACGGCTTCAAAAACATCGACGTCTGTTGAGTAGTATACATAAACCATATTCAGGCTTTACTCGGAACCAAAACCATGCACTTGACCTGCCCAATCCCTTCAGTCCCTTTTTCACCGTGACTGCTCAGGATGTGCTCGCCAAACTCAATCGAGTAAGTCTGTGGCACCTAGCTCGCAGACTACATCGCCAAGAAGAAGATAGGTGCGTCACCCTCGGTCTGGTTTTGCCAAGAGGTCCACGGCGCGGTTCTCAACAACTTCTTCGAGTTCTCGGGCAAGGACATCTTTCCCGAATCGAGCCCAACGTATGATGCCAAGGTCATCATCTCCAACAGCGAGTGGTTCTGGTTGCCGCCGACCACTGCAATATTAACCGTGGGAGAGCCGACGAGAGAGGCGACAATAACCGTAACGTGCTCAAAGGGTTCAAAGCCCTGATCAGTAATATTCAAAGCAAGGCGGTCGACTTTGGTGCCCTGACTAACCCTCCTGCCGGATGGATCCGGGCCTCTGGACACCACTTTGCCAGCGATGATGAGGCCGGTGTGTGACTCCTCCGGCAGCAACAAGGCGCCTTTGGTCCTACGGCCTGCGATCTTCGGGCTCAGTTAACCCATTGAGGGCCGGGCTCCCACAGCCTGTGAAAGCCATCAACAAGACCTACGACACTGGTCTGTCGTCCTCTCGCTGGAGAAGCAATAAGAGTGACGCACTTCCGGACCGGAGCCAGCTGTCCCTTGATGACGGCGCAGACCTCTCGAGGGTCGCGGTGAGTGCAACAGGCCCAATGCAAGTGTACATACACCTCCCATAGCCTTTGGAGACTTGGCTGACGTGATATAGAAAGCGATTCAGCGCAAGAGTCGGCGCGGCGGCGATGGAAAGCTGGTCTGAAGGCGTCACGGCCACAGCTGTGGTGTTACTAAGGGTTGAACTGGAAAAGCAGCTGGTGGTTCTCGCATAGGTAGGAAAACATAAACTTAAGGAGACGCAACGGATCTATGGATAGTGGAAAGCTTTAGTGAGACTGAAGTAGTAGGGCATAGGAACGAGTGAGTGGCGGTTGTTCTCTGTGGGGGTGCTGCTAGAGTAATCTTCAGATATGTACTCAAGTGTTGGCTAAGAACCTGACAAACCACGTACACAAGAAAGGAAGAATACTATCACAACCGTGCGTGAAACTGTCCTCTCCGTTGGCCCGGTTCTCCTCCCCAAAAACAAGTGGAAATCATTAAACAATAATCGCAACACTAACAGTGAGCCATGTACAGTATGGACCCCAAAATGAAACTGAACATGGAGGCGTTGAAGACATTATCACGCCCACATCTGACTTGGCCTCTTGGGCCTCTTGGGCCTCTTGGGCCTGATGTTCTTGTACTGCGACCTCGGCTCATACTCCGTGACCAAACTCTTCAGCTGCAAGCCTCTATCTGCCACCCTCTTTAACTCCGCGACTGTCTGATTGCCCAAAGTCGTAATGGGTCATGATACGCTTGCACCGAACTTTTCAACTTGAATACCACCTCGGCTCATCAGCTGTGAAGCGGCATCTCTGTTCATCTGTAACTCCGGCTGTCGGTTTCATGATCTCCCAAAACTCAAGCTGCTCCGCAATAGTCGTATCCGACGTGGATAGTATTAGCACGGTACGGTCGACAAGGTAGGGTCCATGTGGAGGAGGTGGAAGGAAAAGTAGTCCTGTGTGAATGTGACGCAGTCGCAGAGGTCGGCGACCCAGACGCTGTAGCCAGAATGAGGCGTCAGAAGCTCCTCGAGTTTGGCAAGGAGGGGCTCGAGCATACTGTCTCGTAAGGTTCAAATTCGGCTTGGCAGGTGTTGAGACCTTGACTGAGACGTTCGTTAAAGCCAGAAAGACCGCTGTCCTCCCATATCGCCAGCCCGACTCCCATGGCCTGGGTCTCTTCATCGAACGCACCGATCATGGAACTCGACTTTCGTGGGATAGTAATGGAGCTGTTGAATCGAAAGGGAGTGATGAGCGGGAGGATGGAGTTTTCGTCGTCGCGGTATAAAAGGTGCATAGGCTGCCACATGTGAAACTCGATCGTCTTGTTGACAAACGCGGTCGACACCGACGCCAGGTGGCCGAGGGCGCTCAAAATCTACACTATGCCGATAAACAAGACGAGAGCTACTAGGCATGTACACTTCATAGAATCTTTTGAAGCGCAGGCAAGTGAACAGAGGTAGAAACGGGTGTGGCTATGGACGCAGACCCAGACATGGACGCGGGCACAGGCATTGGTCTGGCATTTCACCGTTCGGAGCAAATAGCAGGCTCATTCTCGTCCCGTGACGGCAGCGGCAACACACCAGTTGTCCGAGAAGCATGTTCCTTCCACTGTTGAAGATCTGTTCTTTATTATAGTTGCAGCCCGGCCCTCGATGGGAGAACTGAACCAGAAGATCATGGAGGATATCCACGGAAGATGCTTCACAAGAGCCTTGTCGTTGAAAATCATGTCGCGCACAGTAATATGAATACAGTCAACCAAAGAAGGTATGTTCACGATACTTGATTAATTCCGAGATCATTCCTCATTGCGAGCCCGACGGTTGGAAGCCATGTAACAAAGCTCAACACTGCCAAGATCGATTTTGTCTATTGCGGAGCTTAGTCTGCCAAAGGGGGTCAGAATCAAGTACTGAAGGTACCATGCGCGGCGTCGAGGGCCGCAGATTGAGGTCGGCCACCAGATACAGTGGCTACTGGAACAGGGAGAGGATCTATATGAGAGGTTGAGCGTAGTCAATATTTCAGTTTGAGGCATCATTTATCTGGTGGCTGGGGCTGTTGGAGTTCTGGGAGCAGAACTGCTTCGACTTGACCGCCAAGTCAAGGCCAATTCTATCACATTTCTGCCTTCTTCACGTATCACCAATGTTCTGCGGGTATAATTGGTAGCGAACTACACACACTGACGTCTCATGGCGTAACGGAAATACCTCAAAAGTGAACGAGACAAGATGATTAACTTGAGGTAAACCAAGTACGAGAGGAATGAATAAGAAGGAAACGAGCAACAGTGATAGTATGGCCCAGACCTAGTCTCATGGTCACATGTGGCTGTCCCAGATAGTATGGTCGGCATTAATGCGAAGGCTATATCTCCCAACGGTTCCCTTAAGATTCCAAACCAGCGGGAGTTTGTACCGAAGATTCCAGGCTCATAGAGCAGTATGTTTTTGATGATAGTCTCGCCGTCATTGTAAGTCTGAGAATCTCGAGTGCTGGTACAACGACTTCGAGGCATGGGTGATACGAGCGACGAAACTAAGGATGGATGACACATTGCCTTACCTAAGATAGCTTTCATCCTATTCCTCGTGGAAAAGGTTGGTCCGTTGAGCTCGTGACGACGACAGCGGAGAACTGATGTCAACTCCCCGAGAACCGAAATCATCGTTTGAAATAAGCTCAAGGCACGATCACCCCATTTTCTCTCACTGTCTCATTCAGTACGTGGTTGGTATTGGGTAAGGTTCTTTCATCTTGTTCACTTTTGCTCCTCGTCTATCTGAATGAATTCTCTGACATGCTCCGTCCGTATGAACTTAACTGGTTTTATAATCTATATCCTAACTTAAGTGGCGGCAGCCACTTTGTTCGGCCATTTTGAGACCCATATCTTTCTCCTTTTCGCATTGCAAGTCGAGTGGCCTGTATTAACTTGCGGCAAACGCCTTCTGCCACTTTCCCAAAACCTCTTGGCAGACATGACGGCGATGCATCAGGTTGGCAGCACGTTCGGACTCTCAGGGCGCCATTCTTGGCTCAGAGCTGCTTGGCCTCGCTGCTATTGTCGGAAGCACTCAGCATGTTGCGAAGCTTCTCACACAAGCACATATCGTTGACCCGCACACGAGTTTCTCTCACGACGAGTACCGGCTCTGGGAGACCACGCCATCTCGTTGGTAGTTAGGCGTAGCCATGGACCTGTAGTGTGATGGCTATTCGGCACCAGGTGCATTCCATCAAACACACTAGACGAGGTATTTTTCCGGACGCAAATGAGAGACTAGGTGAACATGCTTTTACAAGACGACTACGCACGTCCAAGCAGATCGGGAGGATTCTGATGGTCGGATTTCCCTAGCAATTCGAAACAGCTATTGAGCAATTCTTATTCATGACAGAGGAGGTGAATCAGACTCACCAAGGTAATTAAGAGAGGACACTACTCAGATGGGCTGAAGGGGAGTTAGATTATCATGGGGACAAGATGTTATGGAAGACCGACCCACGTGTCGTTCGGCGAGTTAGGGTTATGGTTCGCTTACGGCCGGATCGACGCGAACCCTGCAAACAAGAATAAGATTATACCAATTTACTGGACGGCCAAAAATGGAGCCGGGCCCATCGTCAAGGCGATCCTAGAATGTTGCAAGACGGAACTGGATGCGGACTGCGGCAATGGGAGCACGTCTCTGACGCAAGCGACCAGTGGAGGTCACACAGGAGTAGCTGAGGTGCTACGAAGGACTGTAAAGGTTAGCATGAGAACCATGAGGCTACAAGACCATGATAAATGCAGGGAGCTGTCGCTTGCTGCAATGGTGAAGGCCTGGGAGTCACAGTACGCGGTGACATCGCAAGAGATGATTCAATGTATATAGTCTAACAAGTAGCTCCGTGACTTGGATGGAAATGAGTGATCTTTGATTCAAGAGAGTCAATCCATCTTGAGAGCAGAATACTGTCCATGGCGACAAACTCGCCTCCTTGGTGGACCAGCCAGTTTTAGGACCAAAAACAACACGGGGGCATTAAACCTGCCTCCGAGCTACATACCTTCTATTCCTAGTTAATGTCGATTTTTTCTCGTGAAACGCTAGAATCTTTCTTTCATCTTGATTGCTGTGTGTCTTGGGTCTCTCATGGAGTTTTGTCCTGAATTTCCTAAAAGCGTACGGGAATGACAAATGGCCAGCAAAGGATCAGTGGCGGAAGATCACACGGTGTAGCTGATGAGCAGCTGGAATTAACCTGTTGGAGGTCTCGTGATAGAAGAAGCCAACTTGTGGGGATGCAAGACACTCAAAACGAAATCGCCCAGCAGCTCTTAAATCTCGTTTGGGTGCAGCGGGGAGTCTGCCTTGCATGTTTCATGTTTCAAGGCAATATTTCAAGTTATGGACAAGAGAAGAAGATGCTTAAAATTTTGGGCATTAGCCTCATGATAACCTATCGACATCCGTATGGTAGCTCGTAAGCCGGCCCATACCTTCACATGTTAGTTACCATCTCAGAGAAGTTATACTAACTTTCGGCCATGTGAAACCAATCTTGCTACGGCTTTCTTCTTCAAATGGTGCGAAAGAACCTTCTCTAATAATCCCCTCCCTTTCCTCCCCACAACGAGTAATCTCCGAGTCTGCGAAAAGCTTTGCTACCCTCACCTTGCATGACCCGATGCGATGATATGTATCTTCACCTGCAGGACCAAGAACAAGCGCTTCACGAGTTGCGAATTGCTGAAAGCCAGGGTAGTGAAACAAAGCTCCCAGCCAAAGACAATACGCCGATCCAGTAGCGGGGACGTCTTCTTCACGACTTATCCAGCAGTATTAAGGCGCTTGTAAGTTGCCTTCATCAGATCTGCGCAGCGTGCAGTCATTCCCGATTTTGAGCACTTGCGCTGGTTGCAAGATGTCCTTAAGAAGGAGGGTAGTCTAGCCGATCCATCGTTCGCTGCATGGTGCTGCTTTTGGTGAACCGTTGACTCCAATAACCTCTCCAACCCGAATGAACAGTGTGGTGGCATGTTTGACGTTCCTAGGAGGCCAGATGACCGAATCAACGGATAACCAGGACCATGTGGGCACGTTGCAGGATCTTGTCGATATCCGGATGCCTGGGCTTTTCGCCC